GAGAACAAACTAAGGGTTGATGGGGGGTGGGAGGGAGGAGAGGGTGGGTGATGGGTACTGAGGAGGGCACCTTTTGGGATGAGCACTGGGTGTTGTATGGAAACCAATTTGACAATAAATTTCATATATAAAAAAAAAAAAAATTCTTTTGGCATTCACTGATTAAAAACATACGCATTTATGTTTTAGAAAGCTACCTGTTTGAACCCTGAAAAGTTCTCTAAAGTTTACAGCTCTTCAGTCAATTTAAAAGTCTAGCCAACATGACTATCCATTCTAAAGTAATGTTATTTTTAACAGTTTCCAATTGGATCCCAGAGAATTAAAATTCTTGGGGCCCCTATGTGGCTCAGTTGGTTGAGCATCTGGCTCTTGATTTCAGCTCAAGTCGTAATCCCAGGGACGTGGGACTGAGCTCCGAGTTGGGGGCTCCGTGCTCCAAGCGTGAGCCTGCTTAAGATTCTCTCTCTTTCCCTCTCTTCTTCTGCCCCTCTCCTCTGCTCTCTCTCTCTAAAATTAAACAAACAAACAAAAAAACCCCAAAATTCTTTCAGGTGGTTAGCCATCTTTTTTACTGCTCACAGCATTTTCCTCTGACCCACTATAATTCTAAAGCAATCAGTTGCTTCTTTTGTTGAGACTTACTCTGATGACAGCCTCAAGTCATCTATACATCTGGAATACTGAAAAATGTTCTCCAGTACTTTGTTTCCTGCATAAGCCATGTGCATCACAAACTCCCCCTTCTGCTCTCAAGATTATCTTATCTATGAGGTTCCCTCAGTACAATGAAACGGTCTATGAAAGTTTAGGTGACGGGTTAAAAAAATAAATATTTTTACACGTGCCTTTTCTGTAGCGTGGGATGCTTAATTTGGACTATAAATCTACTGGGGATGAATTCTATCATTTGGCATTAATAAACCATCAAGATTTTAGCTTTGCACTATTAATAAAGACAGTAGCTGTGAATATGACGGTCTCATTTTTAGAAACATCTATGACCATGTTTATAAACGTAGATGTTACTATTCTGGGATAATTTTAAACTATTACGTGTTACCCAATGACAAAGAACCCTAGATTCTAATATTAGGTGCTAATATACCATTAGATTATCAAATAGACAAAACTTATCATTTAATTTACAAACCTAAGGGTTTGTGTGAATGTGTGGTAATACAATGCCGATAACAAACCCCAGAAAACAATGTAATACGTGTATTTTATCTGCCTCTGCTATATTCTATTAAAAAAAGAAACTGATCATGATTCACTTACCTTATATTGTTTTTAAAGTCATATTCACATTTATTCATTACTATGGGCAGTTTTATTTTTAGACAATTAAGGTTAGTCCCCAAAAAGACTAATCCTTGTACCCAACTGAAAATGTATTCTAGGAAGTAATAAACGACATCTTGAAGGTGACAATATAGATGGTTTCTAAGTAATAAGACTATGTCTAAAGGGTCTTATATTTGCTTCATAGCTAGATTTTTTTTCTTTTTTTGGTCTTTTAAAATCTTTGTTGTTAAAAAAATGCTCTACTTGAAACCTAGTGAGGAAAGAAGGTAGCATTTGCTTCCCTGCATCTAGAAGTCTTGATGTCAACAGCTAAGTCGGTAAAATTCAGTACTAGATGGAAAAATACAACAATAAAGTCATGAACCAATTGATAATATATTGGTAATATAACACCAGAATCACAGGTAAGAACTAAATTCTACAACCCTATCAAGGCAGATTCCATCTCTGTCCTTTCCTTAATGTAGCCCACTGATTAGCATTTAAATATTTATTGAATGAATAACTGAATAAGAATTAGAAAAGATTCCAGAATGTCTTCTTATTCAGATCCTTGCCTTTCAGTGGTTAATAAACTATAATCCTCATTTTACAAATGAGACAAATAAGGCCTACTGATGTGCAAAAGGAATTAGGTCACAATATGGGCAATGAAGGGTTTCTCACCCAGGATTTTCAAAAACTGGTGTTAGATGCCTCGAGCGCTATTAAAGTAGTAATTGGGAACCTGTGGACCACTCTCAACATGTCAGGAAATTTCACAGAACTGAATGATTGAGCATGAGGTGGCTAGAGGAGCAACACTGGCTATTTTGTGTGGATTACAAGTTCTGCTTGGTATTTGAATAGGCATTTGATTACACAAAATGGAGAAACCATGTACCTAATGAACATCTCTTGTAAAAAAACATTTTTTAATGGAATCAATAATTAGAAAATGACATGTTAGCTGCCGAAAAGGGATCACTCTCTTACATCGAACTCATTTTTAGATTAAAAAAAAAAAAAAAAAAAAAAAAAAAAAAAAAAAAAGCCAGAGCTACCGGGGGTGAATGCCTAATCTCTTTTGTTTCCTCTTTCTCCAACTTAATAAACTTTTCCTTGAGTAAGAGAAGGGGTTGTGGTGCTTCAAACCCAGCACGCTCTGGCAGGTCTCTCCAGCAGGGGGATGTCTCGCCCAGGTACGCCCCCTTGTATATCACCTGTTCATATGCTGTACCAACGAGGAGACCAGAGATCAAAGTAAGAGGTCCATGGTCTGATCTGTGGTATGATGAGCCATGACCTTTATTCTTCTGACAGCAATTATAACATCAGGACATATTTATTAAATAAACCCAAATATATTTGGACACATTTTTCTATTTAAGAATAAGGAATAAAATCCATCTGTAAATAATCTAATTTTCCTTCAGGTTTTTCTGATTTTTTTTTTTTTTTTTGGATCTGTTTTTTGGAGGGAGGGGAAAATTCCTGCTTTTCTTTAATTATTTCTACCTTCACACACATAAAAAACCCAGTCTTACTATATCATCGCTATTCCATATACCCTCATGTAGTCATATGTGGAAATAACAGAATGGGGGAAAACAGCAACAAAGGTAGGTCTAGAGTTGAGACTGCAATGTTTTACTATATGAGCATGAAGAATGGAAAATACATTGTGGCTTTCTTGGCAGGGGAAAGCACAGATCTTGAAGATCTATGAAGCACCGTGATGGAATTCTGGCTCAGGAAGTAGAATGTTTTTAAAGGTCTCCACTTCTCCTAGAGATTCCGCCATGTGGCTTTCACCGTCTACAGAGGATTTCTGAAGTAAAAATAGGGAACAAGCACATCTTGTTACAGGCAAACAGCCATTTTAATACTTAAAATAAGTAAAACTACATTCATACACACTAAGTACCGTTACCGGCCAAACGCTAGCCAAAATAGCGTTATTTGATGACTGTAACTGTAAAAACATTATTCGTGGTATCTAATTCCATTTCATTTTGCTGGAAGTAAGTGGGCTTTCGACACATAGAAATTAGACAACAGAGACACTGCCATCGTATCTTTTGCACGAATATATGGAACACCTTGGCATCGATGTTAGAATTAGAACACGGCAGGACTAGTTACTCCAATACTTGCTTGAATCCAGTCACGGCTAACATGGAAACCGAGGCAGAAAATGACACATTAGCAAAACAATTAAACTTCCTAATATCAGTAATAAAAGTGAAAACTGGAGGAAAAAAAGGAGGGCCAATTAAATGGCGTCATTTTCCTTGAACAGAGCACGTGATTTGCTTACTTCTGCTGGAATAAATACAGGAATAGAGACCCTCTGGTTGGTATTTCTTCTAGAGGGAGACAAATGGTGATCTCCTGAGAGGTCTAAAACTGGCCTACTTGTCAACTTTGCCAAACTGCTCTTC